GGTTGATGGGCTCCCTTCAACAGATATGCTCTCCGAATTTTATCTCTTTCATTTACATCATAACACCAAATTGAAGGTCGAATTCCAGGATCAGCTGGGAGACTATTAATATCAGTCTCCAGAGGTTCTTTCCTCTTTAAATAACGTTCCATTTGAATCAAAAAAGGATTTGATATATCCTGTGAAAAAAATTATTTTTTTAACGTGGTCTCTTAAGCTATCTAATATGAAGAGTTAAATAATATGTAACTATGTAAGGAATCAATCCAAAAATAATAAATCAATCCATAACAACATATATGCAAAAATTAGGAAAAAAATTAATATTGTATCATCAAATCATAATAATCTTATGAAATTCTTTTAAACTGTATGTCTTTTGATCGGCTAAAAATTTCAAACCAATTGAGGGATCTTCGATCGAGATTGAGAATTCTCCCCCCCCCCTTCCCCAAAAATAAAAAAACTTTGGTGTCCTATATTTTACTTTGTACTAAAACACCTCAGAGAAATCTAAACATACCAAACAAAGCTTTGAAGACAATGAAAAAAAAAATTGAATGATACCTGCATGCCAGATAATTTGTATACAAATTCCTTTTTTTCTCTCCAAATTCAAAATTAATATTTTTTTTTTATCAAAAACTAACTATAAGAAGATACCTGCATGCTAGAGCTTCTAACCAAAAAATTCATCAGGAAGACTTTGTTCTACAAGAAGATGACCTACCTCAAGTTTTTTTTGTTTAAAATCACGAATTTGTGCCTTATTTATCACGATTCTTAAAAAAAAGAAAAATAAAAAACTATTTTAAAAGGAGAGAAACCCACAGCAATCTCCATTTTTTGTTTAAAATCAGGACTTCGGGAACGACGGGAAGTCTACCAGTTCTTTTAATCTTCTCTGTTTTTGTTCATGGAGCCGGCTTCTTTGTGTCCAACAGGAAAAGCAGAAAAAAAAACGAAAAAAAAATGCAAGCCAAAACTCAACTAATTCTTTTTCAGGAAAAGATAAACAGGAAAGCCAAAATAGCATTTTAGTGGCATGATCATTTAGCTGATTCTCTTACCCCCTCTGAAATTTGAGAGAAGAAAAAAAAATCTGAATAAAATTCAGGAACAAGAAGAAAGACTCACACAGTAACGATTCCTTGGAGGGGAGCTCCGATCCCACGACCACGAGAGCTGCGAGCCTGCGAATCCTTTTGCCGGCTGCGGGCTGCCGCCTTGCCGCGTGAAGAAGAGGAAGGAATGAAGAAGATTGTGGCCTGCCGAGTGTCGTCTGCTCGCGATTCACAAAGTGACGAAGAGGGCCAAGAGGCTGCGGGATGTTAGGGAAAAAAAGGGGCAAAACTATTTTTTCAGGGGGGGCAAATTACTAAAATGCCCATGCATGTAATTAATTTTTTTTTTTTAAGGGGGGGCAATTGCCCCCCCTGAACTAAACGTGCTTCCGCCAGTGGTGACAAGGGTTGAACGATTGTCGTTCAATGATTATGATTTGCAGACTCTAGTTGGAGGAGTGTGGTTGGGCGATGATGGTTTGAAGATAATCATTGGTAGTGACAGTATGAGACCTCCAGGATCATAGTACTATTCAAATCGATATGACCCGATTAAAAGTCAGGTAACATATTGAATTTTTGTATTTGAACTCTCTTGCATATAACTGAGAATGATTTGTGCACATGAAAAAGGTCTGAATATGTCTGGAGTGAGTTACAAGGGTTTGAATGCATGTTTGTGAAATCTAAAAATTTCCCCCAGAGCTCTCGACACTATGTTTTCTAGTGCCTCAGCACTGTAGTCTTGAGAATTTTTAAAATGAACTAACACCCCGACATTGGAGTGGTGCACTGGCGTTAGACCAATTTCTACACTTAAGAATTTCCAAATCCACTATTCCACCTAATCCGTCCCATTTGAGTAACTGCCTAGTGAGTGAGAGAGAGAGGATTTTTTAGTGAGAGAAACTTTGTTTTGGAATGCTTCAGGTCATTTTTAGCCGTCAGCCTAGTTGAGAAAGTTATTCGGGTAAATGTAGGTTTAGTTTCACCTATCTTAGTTTTAAATAATTTAGGGATTTTTTATTTTTCGGTCAAATTTACAATTTGATTTTATAAAAATGCAGTTTTATCAAATTCTAGTAACTTTTATCCGTGTAACTTTTGATATATTATCGGTACGACTATTCTCGATGTTTTTAATATTTATTTAAGATTTTTCACTAAGCGATTTTGAAAAAGCAAGCATTTTTATCAATTCAAAATTTTATTTTGTCATTTAAAAATAGTTCTTCAGTACAGTTAAAGGTTTAGAACATTATACACAATTTCTAATAATGTGATAGAATCCTAAAAAGAGTTAGTTTTGGAAAAGTGTTGAATACTATGTGAGGAATTATTTGACATCCGTTTGAGCTTTTTTTTTTAATTGTACAACAATATTGTGATTGCTTTAGTAGTATATAATGCATTTTATTTCAGTATCTATGATTGAAATATTTGAATTGGCGATGAAAAGTGATTTAGTTGGTGGCGAGAAGCGATTATATTGGTTGAGATAAGTAATTCTATCATATGTTATGTGTTAGAAACTCTGAAGCCTGGAGACTATTCTGATATTCCTTAATAAGTGATTCTGTTGGCAGAGAGAAGATATTCTGTTAATGACGAGAAGAGATTATGTTGTTTATTTGTATATATTGGAAATTGGGGCCTCAGAGCCATTATGATAATTCTTATGAAATATTTATTTATATTTCAATTAGTCTCAGTATATTTTAAGCAGTTATGTAAAAACATTTAGTATTAATATATGTTTTAATTTCAACATATGTATAGTACTTCAGTTATCTTAATATTTTCAACTCTTTTGGTTGGAGTTATTGATTCATGTTTTAGGCTATGATAACCTACTGAATTGTGTTAGCTTATTTCTACTTCTTCTTTCATTTTTAGGGCCATAGAAAGGGTAAGAAGCGAGTTGAATAGTTGTGATAACAAACTTTGATCAGTGTTATATGTATGCCTTTTTAGCTAGTTTCTTTTTTTTTTTTTTTTTTTTTTTTTTTTTTTTTTTTTTGCAGACTTGGTTTTTTTGTTATACTTGATGTTGCCAAGTGCTATTGTAGATAGATCTCAGATTGTCTATGTACTTTTTTATAATACAATTAAAAATTATTTTTGAGATTCAGTACTCTTCTATTTATATAATATTTAGTAGTTTCTATGTGTTGTATAAATTGAAAGATTAGTTTTTCTCAACACTTCTCCAATTGGATATTGGGGCCAAACTTCTGATTCTTGCCACGATCGGATATGTTATGACTTGTGTGGGATCGAGTCATAACGGATCTTGTCGTGACAGATAGTCTGACAATTATGGCAGGGTGGTGGCAGCCTGACGATGGAGTTCTAATCAATTTCAAGTTAAAGTCCAAGCTCCAACCCTTAGTTCTCCTTCAAATGAAGAATGATGTCTATTTATAATTTTCTTAAAGTGATGATAAATTTAGCTAAATTCTCCAAAACATGTCATCGGATGACCCATATATTAATTCTCCACATTGTTAGATTATTTATTTAGTCTATAAGTGCCTTAATAATATGAAAATTAAGTGATTTTGGGCTCGTTGAGTTTATCTCATCAAGACTCTCGATTTGATTACGAATATGGAAGATTTGAAAATCATCTCATTATCACAACGATGTCCTGAAAGTTGTTAATTGCGCTTCAAGTACTTGGTTTTGGCTCATTTTGATGATCACTTTTGATGTCAATATGTTATTATCAAGGAGACACTACAAATTTGTTGAAATTGAAGTTAGATGGATCAATGTCTAACTCCGAAAGCTCTCAATTGCGATATGCATCGAGATCTATGATAGATTAAGTGAATTTTCTAATGGTGTCCATAGATAATTAATTTTGATATTATCACTCATATTGAGGGTAATTTAAATAGCATTAATAGCTAGCCAAAGATGAGGTAATTTAAATAAACGTCAAATTGGATGTTGATTACCTCTATTTTAATGATTTAAAAAAGAAAACAATACATTTGAATCATCGTTAATTATTTTAAATAATATCACAAATTTAAGTAAAATAATATTAAACCAAACACGTTATATTATATAGGTAAAATTGATATATAAATAATATTACTATTTGGATAACCCATTAGTTCAAGATGACAAATGAACCTACTTTTGACCTAAAATGATATTTTAATATATATTTTAAATTTTTTTACTTATAGGTATAATCCTCTTATTTATTATCAAATATATTAAACTTTCTATTTAATAAATTATATAAAAAAGTTTTAACTAAAATAGGTTAACAATTTGAATTCCAAGTCATTCGGGTTGCAAATGGGTCGAATTTTGTTTGGACTTTTGACCCATTTATTAAACGGGTTAAATTTGAATTGATTGGATTTTGGTTGGGTCAATTTTAGGTTCAACCCGAATCTAACCCATCAACCCTTTTTGACCCAGAGAAAAAATAGCTTAAAATAAATCAGTTTATTGTCTGAATTGAGCATAAATAGTAACAAATTAGCTAGCTTATTAACTAGCCTCATCAAGAGCTTGAAAAATTGCGTAATAACAGAGCTAATGGTAGCAGAGCCGTAAATTACATTAAATATTAAGGTTTTGTTTGTAACATATTTCTTCCTACTTTACTTTTCAAGCTGTAACCACAATTTTTATTAGGTCATTATTTTTCGTTGTTTTAAAAAAAAATTGTAATGAAAAATAGCTTTCTACAATAGCTTTAAAATTTTACTTTTTCTACAATAATTTTATAAAATAGTAAAAAACTTTCTTTTTTATTACTTTGTAAAATTATTTTTAGTATAAAAACTTTTTAAAAACAGGAAAAAAAAACAGTGGTCTAAAACTGTCCTAAACCATATAAGAATCAAAGCACAATTGTTTTCCTTTTAACTCATGGAATAAACAGTCATTTAGTTTGAAACCATTCATGCAAAAGGTGAATTTTAGCATGAAGAATTAAGGATACAGAGCCCATGAATGTAACTTGTTTCACCATGCAAAAGGTCGACGCCGTAGATATTGTCGCCTCTATAGGAGGGATGGTTCAAGGGCTTTTCATAGAGAAGACATATGGAAGTGTTGTTCTAAGCAGAAGATATAGAGGCCTTAATGGGCGGGAGAAGGTTGCCTTTCTGCATGGATGACAAGAAAGGCTTCTTCTTCTTCTTCCTCGTATCTTCAGAGATCAGCTTATCTCTGCACCTTTTGCTGCAGAACGCAACTTCCCTGCAGAAGTAGAGAGCAGCCATGAAAAACTGAGAATGTCACGATCCGGCCCGATTAGCTCGTAGATACGAGGCGGGAACGAGATCGGACGCGAAATTTATTTCTCATCAACAATTCCATTCAATTTCAGCTAATCAAAATAAATAAAGCACCTCTACAACATTATCATAACACAAGTCTATCAAAATGTACAAGATGGTCATATAAAATATTTTCTACACAATTTCTGCATGCCATCCAAAATAACAAAAATAACTACAACATCTACCACTACTAAAGACAGTAAAGGAACCTGTCACCCGGTAAGCGTCGTCTGTAAGTAAACCTCGGGTGATCAGCCATCACCTAAGAGTCGGGTCTCCTAAAAATTTCCTAAAACTAAGGAATGAGCTACGCTCAGCAAGAAAGTTCTAATCCTAAACATGCTCAGTTGACATAAAAATATTGATTTACATGCTTTAAGAAGAAAGGGGAACATGTGTTTAATGTCTCGATTATGTCCTCATGAAAGGTATGTAAATGTCATATGCATATGTCATAGCTATATCTAATGCATCTTTTTTTTTTTTTTACTTATTTAACATATTCAACCGTCCCGGAGTACCGTCTTGTACTGATCAGGTACACATCTTTTGGCCATTTATTTTCCTCAATTGCCCCAAGGGCCATATGTGCCTTTGGCACCGTCTTTGGTACTCCGTATTCAATCATGCACAATCAATTCGATATTTGTTTAACATGACCATATATTCTTTCCTTCCTTACAAATGTTTGACATAAAGCTTTACACATGAATTTGAAGCATGAAAGAAACAAAATAAATATTCTATTTCTATAAAAGACTTTACAATACAACATGATATAAACATGAAATAGCAATTGAACATGTAAGGAAAAGAATTCCTACCTCCACAACCTTCTTCTCCGCTTTCGCTTTCTTTATTCTTTTTCTACTACTTTGGCTCACCCGGACCGGATGCCCCCCTCCATCGCCTCCTGTATCAAAATTCCACTCAAATTTTCATCTCTTTCTCCCCCTCCCCCACAAATAGAATCATGATCAAAATTTCCCTTAAATAGAATCATGGATTGTCACGCATATCTCAATGAGTTTAGAGTTTCTTCCATCACTGATAAAAAAGTAAAGTTCAATAGTTCAATTGTTTCTTGCAATCGAGGGCTTTTTCTTTTTTTGGCGATTCTTGTGATAAATAGCTACAAAACCATCAAATTTTCTAAGTACAAAAAACCTGACCATGAATTCTAACCTAGTTACTTAATGTTCTTGAAATGTCTGTTGCCTCAAATATTATGCTTTTTGATTCTGCCAAAAAAGATGTAAGATTTTCTTTGTTTCACATATCTTTAGGAAAGTAATATCTCAAGCGTCTACACTCAATTCTAAAATAATTTTCCCTCCATAAAATGATATGAAAATTCAAGAGAATAATAGCACACTAAGAATAAAATAGGACTGGTTACTTCAATATTGTCCCTTCAATATTATCTAATTATCTAGAAAAAGTAGAAAAAAGTTGATGACGCCAAATTTATCTCTGGCTTGCATCCTATTATGTATGGTGTAAACTTTTAATTGATGGCAAACTGTATAGTCCCTAACATTAGAATTGCTCTCTCTCTCTCTCTCTCTCACGTGCACTTTTTTGCACTGTTTGTATTACAAAATTATCTAATGCCTCATCTCACACACTTGCCCAATCAACCTTGATTGTTAGTTTGAGGGGTGGTAGGCCATCATAGTGGTGGCTTTATAAATATTTATGGTTATGGCCAGAATATCTTTCTTATTGGCCTCATTGTGATCACACACACCATCCTCCTGAACATTTCTAGGAGAACTTTGACTATCCAAGCACAACTTTTCTTATTGGCTTCTTTGTGCTTTAGTTCAACTGCACACATTCTCTCTCTCTCTCTCTCTCTCTCTCTCTCTCTCTCTCTCTCTCTCAAGACAACTATGATTGACCGCTTCAACATTCTCAATCATTTATTTTAGCGCCTCATGATGTCATTTCCTCTGGATCTATTGGAACTATCTCTATTGTTACACATGGGTTTTACATACAAAAATTTCATCACACATGTCAGGTAATGTTATGTGTGGAATTTGATTGTGTTGATCAATAGTATTGTTTTATTGCCTTGGACCTCAAGTTTATTGTGCTCGTTAGGGGGTACGGGTTTACCCGCTGATTGGGTTCAGGTGCAGGGTACTTATGCGCCCCGACGCTATTTTCCTGAGTACCACAACACTGTTTTCTTGAGCACCTCAATACTGAACAACAGAGAGCAAAGCGCCGCAGTGGTATACATACGACATTGCAGCGGATCAAGACAGAGGTTCAAGCGCGGTAGTGCTCCAAACTAATGCCATAGCAATGTGAGACGGACTAGACTGTTTTCTTTCTCTCTTTTTTTTTTGAAGTGTTGCGTCCCTTGGGGTTATTTTACTTGACTTTTTCTTGTATTTTGGTAGGTTAGACATTGAGAACAGTGCATGTAAGAAGAGAAGCAAGGAGATAGTGAGAGAGAAGATAGATCTGTACTTATTTAATTTCTCCCAATTTTTATAGTAAATTCCTTGGTGTGGAGTGGTTCCATGGTTTTTCCCCTATTTTAGGTTTTTCCACTTTTAATCCTAGTGACATTTATTTTTCAGCTGCTTTTACTTTCTTGCTTGTTTCGTCATTATGGTGTTTGCTCCTCATCTTCAATAGGTAACCACTAATTATTTTCATCTCTCTACATGACCTCCCTACCATATGTCATTCTGATATGAAACACTTGAGTTCGCAAGTATTCCTAACCCAAACCAGTAAAATTACAGCAGCCAACTGCTGTCCACAGCAGCAAAACAGCAGAAAAACAGGGAAAACGCAGCAGGAAATTTGGAAATGAGGAGAAAAATACAAGATTTCGCTTGTATTTCACTAGAAATAAAAAAAAAATAGAAAAGATACAATTGATCCTCAATTCGAGAGGAGGATCGATCTCTCCCAAATCTCTGGCAATGCCAAGAGCCCAAAGAAAACCTAAATCTACAAGATCTCAAATTTCAGCCAAATTCAAGATACTCAAACCCTATAAAAAATAACTCTTTAATGCATACAAATCAAAAGGAATTCCCTAAACAGTCCCTACATTCAAATTTCCCTCTTAACTCCCCAACATTTCTTTCCTATTTGGCTCCCGCACGCCGTGCGGCTCGCTCGGCATCCCAGCGGGCGGAAGTTTCTTCCGCCCTGTTCGTGCCTGAGCCGGTCCTGCCTGGACCGGCTGGACCGGTCCAGTGGACCGGTCTAACACATTCCTGATATATCACATGTGAAAATGCATTATGATTATTCAAAAACTCTCTTTTAGATTATTTACATGTCCTACAATTTATTATAAACTTATTATCTATTTGTTGTCTTAAAGATCTATAATTATTTTATAATATTTTATCCTTCTTATTGCGTCTTCAAAATCACAACTCAAAGAAGATAATCGACATAGCTGATGAAATAGATGTAGGTGATGAAGCTAGTGGAGTTCACTGCTTAACAACAGACCTTCCGTCTCTCTTCTCCACTTCTTTTCATTGGTATTACTGGTTGGGTCTTCTTCCTAATAGACTTTGACAAATTATCTTTGTTCTTTGTCTCTACCTATGTTTGGTTGTCATGCATATGAGTTAAGTAAACATCACTTTGTGCCTTTTCCTTCATTTACCACCAGTCCATGATATCTTCCTTTTTTGTTAGTTCACTCGGGACATTTGGGGTCTTAAACATAACAATTCCCTAGGATTTCATAACTTGTCATATTTATTAATGATTGTTCATAAGTTACCAAAGTTTATTTGCTCAAATATCAGAACGAGGTTCTTCATATAATTAAAAATTTTTATCAAGAAATAAAAGTTCAATTTTCACCTTAATTAAAACTCTACTCACTAATAGTTCTTTTAAATTTATGCAATCTCAATTTCACACCTTGTGCTCCACCGGTGGTATTATTTCTCAAATTTCCTCTTCCCTACAAATCTCAACATAATGGTATTATTAAACAGAAAAATGACCATCTTCTTGATATTGCAAGGATATTGTTGTTTCATATGTGTCTTAATAGCTATACTATCTCGCTGACTACGATCAACCGCCGAATACAGTCCACTCCGATTACCATCGCTCGCTGACTATGGTCCTTCCAACCACCCATGCTTGCTGACTACGATCCACTCTGACCACTATATATCACCCATCGACTACGGTCCACTCCGACCACCGTCTTCCGCCGACTACGATCCACTTTGACCAACGTCGCCCGCCGACTACGTTCCACTCTGATCACTATCACCCGCCGACTATGGTCTACTCCAACCACCGTCGCTCGCAGACTACGATCCACTCTAATCACTGTTGCCCGCTAACTAAAGTCCCTCTGATCATTGTTACTGGACGATTACAATCCCTCCGACTACAATCACATCCTCCCCCCAATCAGCATCCCCCCCCCCCCCCCCACACTAACGTCCACTCCAACCATCGTCCGACCACCAACTAGATCCACTCCGACCGCCATCGCCCGCCACTACGGTCCACTTCGACTACCGTCGACCACCGACTACGGTCCAATCATGACCACCGTCACCCGCGACTACGGCACTCCTAAACCATCTCGCTAAGCTCACTCAATCTCCCGACCACGTCTGCCTGTCGACTACCGTCCCCATGAATACGGCATTTCGACTACCGTCGTCCCACCGAAAACGTCCGTCCAACATCGTTGCCAAACCGACGTACGGTCCTTCTGACCATTGCGCCCACCGACAAACGTTCTCTCCCAACCACCAATTGCCCGCGGCTACAATCTTCCAAAACCACCGTCTCTCGCCAACTACTAGTCCTCCAACCACCGTCGCCCGCCAATTACGGTCCTCCGACCATCCCACTACAGTAAAAAACACTGAAAACCAATTTTTTTCCGGCGGTAGT